GGAGCTGAATTGCAGAAAGAAATGGCCATGAGCAGCCTAAGCAATTGCACAGTTACCGCTCCAAGCTGCTCCTTTCCTCTTGTACTAGAGGAAAAAAAAATAAAATTAAATATCATTGTATTAAAAAAAATGTTTGTGAATTTTTTCCTAACCTTTTAGCAGGTGAATCACCATCTATTATTGTATTTGTGGGGTCCCTCGTGGCAGGAAGGAATGATGAATCGGACTCCTTGTTCTCAGAAGGCCAGTTTATTACATTATGATATATACTATATTAAAGTATACTATACTAAACTATACTAAAGGATACAGAAAGGATACTTACAGAAGGCTAAAAAGATAATAATGAAACTCATGACTCTGTCCAGACTCCAGCACAGCTTGGCCCCAATTGGCCAATAAGTCAAAGGAATTCACATGAAACCAATGAAACAATCACCTGTTGGATAAACAATATCCAAACACATTCCAAAGCAGCAAAACACAGGAGAAGCAATGACATAATTATTGTTTCCTTTTTCTCCTTTTCCCAGGAGAAAAGTCCTGGGTGAAGGGATTTTTCAGAAAATATGAATGACAATCTATATCACACCAATAAAAAGAATGTAATAATACCTCCCATTTGATTTTCATAATCAACTTCTTTCTTTCTCATACACTGCTATCATACTTGTGAGGAGCTCCATCTAAACCCCTGCATACCACCTTGTTATTTTCTTAGAGTCATATGCCTAGTATGTTCTAGCATTGTAGGCATTTTTGAGTAGGAACCCCTTTTATTATGTATTATTATAGAACTTAGCACAAAAAGCCCTTGTTCAGGACTAGAGAAGTTGGTAACACAAGTGATAAATCATCATAATCACGCAGAAGAGAAATATTACACTGATCATGATGGTAACACCCCCTTCTTTATCCTCCTATTGCTGAAGTCAACATCAGAGCTGCATTGACATCAGATGGTGTGAGATTAAGCCTTACAGCATTATTATTCGATCTGATTTTGACAATTTTTTAATAAAATTTGTCCAGCATAAAGAAAAATCTTAACTTTACAGCAGTACACCTGCTGGGTTGACAATGATTCAGATATAAGTGTATCCACAGGGTGAATATAAGGTATGTGTTTGTGTTTATACCCTTTTTTTCCCCCAAGACTACTAAGGTGATGCAGATATTACGCTTGCCCTTAGATTGATATCTCTGTTAATCTCTCCCATCAAGATTAGTTTTATTATCTAAGTGAACAGTAATTTTAAAGAAATAGCATTTTATTGAACTTCTGCTTAAATCCAGACAACTTCAGAAAAAGGCAGTCTGCCTTGGCATGACGTGACTTGAGAGCTGAAACTGCAAATTCCTCAGAAACGGCCACCTACTTTCATCTCTGTTATACTCAAAGCCACACTGGATGTTTATATGAAGCTCAAATGAAATTACTGAGTTTTTCAAGAAAAGTAGCTGTAATGGAAAATCTTAAATATAATTTTTAAATTGTAATTTTATACAAAATCATGACATCAACATCTGTGTATACAGAGGTTCTATTTCATTTTCATTAAATAAGGATATTCAAATAGCATTTGACACTAGTAATTCATTTTTATAATGTGTTTTCTATTAGATTGGTTAGATTAGTATTTCATGCAAAGACTGCAGGATGCTCCGTTCCAGCTGCTTACACTGGAGCCCCCACTGGATGGCAGTCACATGCAGCTTTGGAAAGAATTCAAGCAATAAAAACAAGTGGACAGAAATCTTCACATTCTTTCAGCCCCTGTTCTCTAGACCCACTGTCTTGTGGTGCATCATTTCATTCCAGGTGCCAGGATTAGAGAAAGGCATTGCTCAAAGCTGTGGAAACCAATGCGGGTGTCCCCTGACAAGAGATGCCAAGGCTGGCAGCAGAGCAAGAGCTGGCTCTACCACTGATCAGAAATGTTTGCCTCAGAAAATTGGTATCGATAGGTTTTAAATAGAAATTTATTTTAACTAGAAATCAGAACAACACAAAACTTCAGACAGTCATTAAAACAATCCACAGCTGAACCCATTGAGATATCTTTCCTTGACTTCCACGAGATGCGAAAAATGTATGTGAGTGGCTAGATTCAGGTTTTTATTCAGTACAAGAGATCTATTTAAATGAGTAAACCTCAGCAGCAAAGTGTGTGTTCCTGTTAGAGCCTGCAGTGTAACACATCATTACTCTAATTGTTGCAATCCCTTTTGCCTCTGAACCGGGATGAATCCCTTGGGACTTCCGCTCTGCCATCCTGAAGTCTCAAGGAAAGGTGAGGTCACTGAAAGGACTTTGGTTTTTTTTTTTAATCTGGCCAAGGGTGCTGCTCACTAACCTGTTCCAAGATGGGGAAAGAGAGGGCCTTTCCAAATCCTGAACACTACCTGAACACAAAGGGAGTCTTATCACAGCACAGCTGGCAGGATTTGTTATTCTGTAATTGTCCATGTAAATGTTCACAGTGGTTCATCATTAAAACTGACTTTTCATTTTAATGCGTATCCTGCAGACTCAACCCATGTACGCAGGTAGAGGCTGCCTCCACATTTGGCAGGGGTGACTTTTTTATTACTTGTTACTACTAATTTGTTACTCTGACATTGGACACGTCCCTACTGCTTTAGGACATCCAGCATACATCAATAAGTTGATTATAGACACAGATTGATATTTAATTAATTTATTAATATTTTATCTGATTAATGATGATCTGATCAGCACCACTACCTAGAGTCCAGATTACAACAAAAAGAAATATTTTAAAATTGCTCCAGACTGATTCTGAAAAAGAAAGAACCCAAATGTTGATGATACTGACAGATACCGATGTAAGTAGTAGCATGTCCAATTATTTTATCAGAGTTACTTCAGCATATTTTAAGTCATTTAAATAAAGGGAAAACCTAGAAAATTGATCCTGTATAGGTACTGGGAAAAAAATTCCACTGCAGGCAAAGATTCACGAGGTTAACCTCTTGACATATGAGAGGATGGAGAATCAGTTTTTTGTGGATTAGTTTTCACCAATACACTTGATACACCTCTCTAAAGTTTACAGTTTTCATTTAATCACCTTAAGGGTAAATACCATGACAGATCTAAGCCATTTCTATTTTTGTCCTGAAATAACAAGAGAATTTTTTGATATGCCTGCAGTTCTCATTGAAAATATGTCTTGCACTTGCAATGTTGAGTGCTGAGACATTTCCCTTCCATCAGGAAAACCAATAGCAAGCACTCAAGTGGAGTCTCTATTTAGTAGGCCCTGAAGTGGTTGAGTTTGGGATCTGTTTACTATTTTAACCCTTTGTATTCACTTGACTACTCTTTCCAAAATAACTCTTTTCAATTTGAATTTATAAAACTCTAATTTCAGGTAAAAGATGCATTTCTGCTCTTTATTAAAAATCTAAGAAAAACTGTTCACAGTACTCTGAACAAACTGAAGCTCCTTCTTTTCTGAGTAAGAATATGGAACTATGTTTTCCCATGTATTTATCTCAAAATAATTGGTGTGAATACTAGTTATGACAAATTAAAAATAATTTCTGAACATTAAGACTTACTAAACCTCTCTTGCATTCTGCAGAGACTGTTTTTCCTGTCTAGTATGTATATACACTTTTTTTCTTGGGGTTTTATGGGGAATTATAAGACAGGACTCCTGCAATTGTTATGGTTTTTTGAGTTGGCCTCTGCAGACTCATGACTCCAGCAGGCTTTACAACTGTCTGAGCTTACAGTGTTCCAGGATATCAGGGGATTCAGTTCTTCATTTCTGTGCTACCTGCAATTCATTTACTTTTAACCACTGAACAGAGCATTTTCAGTATCATTAAAACAAAGTAATCCACAATAATTACATTTTGAAATTAGAAATATGGCAGAAAGATATGTGAAAATATTGCATGCCCCATAGAGTTGCCATTTCCTGAGAATTACTTTTCCAGTCTACTGTACCCTGCAAAGTCTTAAATCACATATATGAGTTTCTATCCTGTTTTGTGCCAAGGTAAGGCCAGAATAAAATAAACTATTACTGCTCTGCCCTCTTTAAGCCTGTGTAATAAACATGTAAATCTGAGAAAATAAATAACAACAGTAAAGATAAAAATTCATCCCAATTACCTTTATGAAATGTGAAATCAAAACTCCACTGAGCTATATTAAACTATGTTAATAGCACTATTACTAAGCATAAGGCAATTCATTTTATTACTCTCTTTCTTCACATTTGTCTGTTAAAGAGCTAAAAACCAGGGGGAAATATGCTAGTGTAACATGATTGCTGTGCCATATCAGGGACAATATGCATTTCCTATAGATTAAACTATTTAGCTAAGTTGATTACTCTTGAATTTATTTAGGTTTCAATAGGCGTCGTCACAATCAGATTGAACAACATTCTCAACAAGAAAGTAATAAACATGAGGTGCAAAAAAAAGAATGCTTTATTAATTTATGACTTTTCTGAGAGAAAATAAAAATGCCCAACACCTGAATTAGTCTCAAATCCCCAGCTATGTAAATCTAGTTTTAACAGTAACATAGGTCCCAAATGGAAATCTATTTCTATGGAAAGAAAAAGTTGTTTTATTACTGATGATGTTGTTATATTTAGCAAGTGAAGAGCACATAAATAAAAATTGGTGTGATTCTACACACACCATATACACCACATACACATCTATATTTTGTTCTGATTGAACAAAAATACACACACCATATACACATCTATATTTTGTTCTGATTGAACAAAAATATATTCAGTATAAGTATTCTCCAGGCCTTGACAACTGTGGAGATGGCAGATATGGAAGGAAATGTATTTACTATTGTTTTCCCTTTATGAAAATGAAAGTAGTGTATTAGACAGATATAAGAGATGGCATAAACTCCATGAAGTAGACCTGATTGATCAGAACTGTAATAAGCAGATCAGTTCAAAATGCTCATCATTTCTTTTCTCTTTCTCCAGCTTGATCACTATCCTCCAACAAGTTACAGCCTGCCAGCCACATCTGACATTCAGTTCAATTCCCCAAAGGCACTATTCCTAGGAAAAGTCATAGGTAAGATTTCATTTTGTACCTGGGACAATGATGTATGTGTAACAGGACTCTTGCTGGACACATGGTACAAGTGGTGGTACTGTGTTGATGACTCTCCATGTGTTGAGACACGAGGCTTAACTCCATTTCAGAAGGCTGATTTATTATGTTAAATATTATATTGAAATACTACATTAAAGCTATACTAAAAGAACAGAGAGATCAGAAGGCTACAACAAGAACAGAACAGAACAGAATAACAAAATCCTGTGACTGCTCACAGCCTTGGCACAGGTGGCTGTGATTGGTCATCAATGGAAAACAATCCACATGCACCAATCACAGAGGCACCTGTTGCATTCCACAGCAGCAGATAGTAATTGTTTACGTTTCTCTCCTGAGGCTCCTCAGCTTCTCAGGAGAGGAAAAACCCCAGCAAAGGATTTTCCATAATATCATGGCTACAGTACTGGAATTATGCCTAAAGGAGGGGTTATGTTCACTCTGTCACAGAGGCTGATAAGCACACAAATAATTTTCTGCCACCCATATGGAAAAAAAAATGTATGAGCAAAGAGACCCTTGTAACATTGTCTTTGTGAGGTTTCATTACCCAGTCGGTGTCAGATGAAGGCAATCCAAGAAAACCACTGAGACCACTGCTACTACCAGGAGATACTGAAGTTATTTTGAATATTATCATTCACTGTGAAGTTATTGTGTGCCTTGTAAAATGCAGACTTTATCCATGCAGACTGCCTTCTTATCCCAGGGTGTCCTCTGGCAAACCACCATTCTCTCCCACTAACACCCACCAGCCAGGTCCTTTGGAGCCTGTAACACCTGCAGCAACACCCATCTGGACATTTTTTATCCCTTTTATGGATTTCATCGTTATTTCCAGTGCAGCAGCTTTCTGTCTAGCTCACCAGATGAGCTCAAGGGGAGATAGAGATGCCTTGGCCTCACTTTCAGACCATCCTTCATTCCATTGCTTAATTTTTCTGCTACTGGCTTCTTACATGAATTTCCAGGGTTGCCCACTTCAGGAAGAAATTCTTCCCAACATTTACAGTTTGTAAGGAGGGCTTCTTCCCCTTTTCAGAGATAAAGGGGAATTAACATTATTTCCTCTAAGCGCTTTATACAGACATATGGTTGCTTGAACTCAGTGAAGAGCTTAATCCAGAAATTTGCAAACTTTTCTTGCTTGTGTGGTTAGGGCATTAATCTGTGAACCCTTTGCACTGTTTTTAGAAGTGGTAAAAAATTGACCACATAGCTAATGGAATTTTTTGTAGATACATTTTTTCATTTGTTTTGTTTTTTAAATTTAACATGGAGAACTTCCATAACATAGGAAATTAAAAACCTTTAAAATTATTTGCTATCAGGAGAGTCATGAACTATTTTCTAGTACTTTCCAAGTCAGTTCTGTTGACAGTACAAAAGATGATGCAGTCTGATTTTGGACAGTCTCTGGAATCTGGGTACCTTGCTCCATTTAATTTGGGCAGCTGGACTGGAGCTGACTCAATTTTTTAATAGCATGGGATTATATTAACCCTTTGGGAATATGATTTAATTTTTTTTCTTCTTCTTCTCTACTTATTACTGTCTTTGCAGATAAGGCATTTTATTAAGCAGAAAAATGTATCACTACTAAAGAAACAAACAAGAAAACAAAAACTAAAACGCTTTTTACCCTTTCTACCAAAGAAAATTTGAACTTCACTGCAAAGAGATGGATTTCCTGGTGTAAAATGGTGGTGCAAGTGACCATGTCTGTTGATGAGCTTTACTGTGCAGCTCTCAGAGTCGTGTTGAATGAGGGGAGAGCTCAGTTAAAAGTACAGCAGTTTGAAGGGCAAAGTATACACAGAATTCAGTATCTTCAAAGGCTCTAGCTGTCACCTCATACTGACTAGGCATATTTTAGTGGTCTAGAGGGATTAGAACCAACAGAAGATCTGGATACATAGATCAAGTTGCAATTTGTGCCCATATGCAATTACATTCTCCAAATGGGCAATATGGGAGTAGCCTCCCGTTTACTGCTGCTCTGGCATCTCTTGCATTCCATTTCTGTTGTTCCCATACGATGCAATTCTTATTTGTCAGCAAAAATGAATGCAAAGCCCTACTTTTAAAGACAGATGGGTTTTTGAAGAGCACTCTGGAACAATCTTACTTGGAAACTGGTCTTCTGTCTGTCTTATTTCCATTTTTATTAGTGTTATTTGCATAGGAGCAGCCGCTTCTGCACCAGCTGTTCTTGCTGTGATAGAGAGTTCATCTGCTCCCCGTCAGAAATGATCCCTTGTACAACACCTACCACAATGCAACACCTCTCTCTGCTCTAGATGTTACAACATTATGTTGTAACAATTGTTACAGATGTTACAATTAATAAAATGTTTCTTTGTACCTGCTCAGAATATTTTCTGTAAGGCAGGAGGGTCACATCAGAACAACAGCAAAACGCTTGAGTTGCAATCAGGGAGAACTCTTCTTCTTCAAGTGAGATGCTTTCTGTTTCCTTGAAATACTGTTTTAAAAAATGCATTTGTTCACTGGCTTGAAAAATACTGATATAAAATAATTGAAGTCTTTTGGAAAAACTGGAGGTAAAGATGCTTAGTATATAATTCTTACCTAAGTAAAATGGATTACGATTTGAGGTGTGAAATAAAGCTGGAAGACACAGCAAATGAAAAATCCTATTGTACATGAGTGTGTAGTAACAAAAACTATAACACTAGAGAAATGCAGGATGCTGTTAATGTTTGAAGGAAGTTCTTTAATCTGTTATTTAGATGTATTTAGGCTTTGGTGGCTGACAGACAAGGCGAGAGGAAAAACCAGGATATCTGGATGATAAGCTATGAAGAGGAAAAAGTGAAAATTAGACAATGTGACAGGCATCTACATTTTCATGTAGGCTGCAACTTGCAGCTCATTACTGCAGTAGAATGGAGCAGAGGTTTGATTTTTCCATTAAGTGTAGAGGGTTTGGATGCAATACTCAGCTTTGTCTTCACATCCTTTTTTGGGAAACTACACCTGTACTCTCTTAGTCTGTACTTTATTATTAAAATTGAAACATTTCTTTGGCAGTTAATATGTATTTATAAGTAATTAGCTAGACATAATTACACATGATTTTGTGAAAGTGAAACACTTCTGGTGAACAGAAATAATTTGAGAGTTTTTCTAACAGGATATATGATTGAGCACAGACACACCAAGATCTGACAAGAGTTGCTCTTGAGAAAGTGGCAGAGAAGTAAAGGAAATGTGCTTCTTGTCATGATTTCCACCAACCACTCCAAATTAAATTGGGTCTTTTCAGAAATACTTAAATATCAACTTGGAAACAATTGACATAATACAAATAATCATCACACAGATAATCATTTCCAGAACTGACAGCTGTCCCTGCAGCTCACCTCTGTGGGCTCCATTTTTGTCTCTGCCTCAAGCTAGTGCTCTTCAGGGACTTCTAGTAACAGTAGCCAAGAGAGAAATATGTTTCAGGTCTGCCTTTCTTCTTACAAAAGCAGCTGCTATCACTCTACAACTAAAGAGAGGTCCTAGAAATCAACCCCAAAGGCTTGGATTCTTTACACAAAAAGTAGTTGCCTTGAGAAGAAGTGGTAAAAGGTCAATTTCTAGATGTGGTGGGGTTTTCCTAACGTTAATGCAAAGACTTTTTTATTGTCACCTGATTGGAGTTACTGGTTTTTTTACTGGTGTTTGTGGTGAAAATTAAAATTGGTGAAGAGACTCTTCTCTGACATTTCACATTTCATTGTGACATTCAGCACCTTGGACTGGTGGGAGGTAAGACCAGCATACATCTAGCCAAGTAGTTAGTTTCAAATGTGCAAAGGAGAGAACACAGAAATACTTCACAAAAAGGAGGAGATAAATGGTATTTCTTCATGGCTTAGGTACAGTAGAGAAAGAAGAACTGCTTTTCTCTTGCATGGCATCTGTCTGCCAATAGATACTGAATAATACGAGGCTAACATTCAGAATGCTTTGAATTTCCAGCAGTGAACAATGGCATTTATTCCAAGAGGTAAGCATTCTTTCTTCCTAGATAAGATACTTTCTTTTCTATAGAAAAATCTTGGTAGTTTGGCTCTTCAACACATGAAACTGAAAAACATCAATGACCTACAATGTAATTCATCCTACCAAAACCATCACACACTTTTAAAACCAGCTTCTGATCTCCATGTTTCCACACAACTGCAAAGTTTCATCATTTAGAGGGTTTGTTTCATGTCAAAGAATGAACATTTTCTCTCTTTGAGAGCATTTGCCATTGTTAAAAAGGGGAAATTGATAGCCTTGATAAAAAATTTGTGAAGGATATAGGCATAGTCATATTTGGTGCTCAGTTTGGATATGCTTTTAGACATTGACATCATCTGATATGAAGTTATTGTTAATATACGTATAAAATACCAGTTTAGAATTAGATCTCTATATTGTAGGGTTCTTTTTGTCAGCTTTTAAATTTGTATCTTAGAAAATAGTGCAGAGCTGTAAATAGATCATGAATAATCTAAAAGTATTCTTCTGTTACACATCTTTGATATGCATCTACTACTACTTCATGATGATAATGAAGTTAACACCTCATTATATATGTTTGGAGTGTGGCATTCAGAACTGCACAGCTTGAGCTCTGCTGCTCTCGTTCATTTTGCAGGGCCAGGAGACACTCTGAGTGCAGGGGAGCTCAGCCAACTTTCACTGATAATGAGAAAAAAACAGCTAGCATGCAGTAAATTCATCCAGCAACTTACTTCAAAGTAACTGCCTGCTGCTCCTCCATTTCTGAGCACCAGCATTAACATTCAGTACTGCAATCTCACTGAGAATGCCTAGAATGCCTCTTGTCATATTGGGAGCCTTCCTGCTACAGCAGGTAGCAGTTGAATATTAAAGACGTTCTTTCCCCTGCATGAGTTATGTATGAATTGTCATACAAAAATATAACATCTGGA